CTTATCTTCTTTACATTTAATCTTTTCTGGTTGGTATCCAAATAGAACTGATATATCAAAAGCAATAGCAAAGCATCCATAATTACTTACACTTGTTTGACTTAAAACTGTAGGAAATACAATTGGCGTAAGTGGCTCTTCGAAGCAGTATGGATGTAGTTTTGTCAAAAAGTCGACAAAATCTAAATCAAGTTTTTTTTCATTTAATGAATTATATACATATAGGGTTTTGGAATCATAAAAAGTACATATCCAATGATCAATTGGTAAGCCTCGTTCAAATAAAATTTGTACATGCCGAGTATTTTCGTCCACTGCAGTTATTTTTGACGTGTCTTGCAAATATAATGTAGAGGGAGGGTTATATGATGACACATAATTTAATATTTGATTAAAATAATCTAAATATGAATCATTGAGACATTTATTCTGTAATATACTATTTCTGTCATACAATGTCCTAGGGTATTCCGTAGTAGAGACAGGAATGACATTGCAAGGGTAATGTTCTTCTCTTTTATTTACGAGAGTTTGTGTCAGGTAAGGTTGCATTCTATCTAAAGTATATAATAGTTTGTGTGGCTTTAACCCACATTATGATAAAATTTCAGATCCTATAGCAAAAAAAAATCAGAATCTATTGTGTTTAATTGACTTTTAACGTCGAGAAAAATAGTTCGTTTACTTTCGTGAAAGTAATATGGATGTATTACTCTTAAGACTTTTTTAAAGTCTTCTAGGGGCTGTTTCCTATAAAAGGAATCAAATATACTCGTACATATTTTCAGTATCATAGTACGATGTTACCCAATGCCCAATATCATTGAGATCGGCACTAGCTGCCGATGAATATAATATCTGAATATGTTGCTTAGTTTTTGGTACTTCTGATAAAAGATTCAACTTATTTCTCATGTATCAAATGGTTTATTATCTAAATACAACGACAATAGTCTGTTGAAATAATAAATAATGTCATCTTCTAAACAAAACTTTTCAACAGTTTTTTGTCTCTGTTCACTGAAATCTTCAATATCTGGCATCTCCATAGCAAATGATGTAAATTTGAAGGTAATATTTTAAAATTATATTACTTTGACACGTATTTACAGTGCAAATAAATTTTAGAAAACAACTGGAGTAATATATCGAAAAGTGGTTGAGTCACTCTTAGCAGACTAATGAAGTCACGTATCGCAGACTAGTGGAGTCGGTCTTAGCAGACTAATGAAGTCGCGTACCGCAGACTAGTGGAGTCATTCTTAGCAGACTAAAAGAGTTGCGTATCGCAGACTAGTGGAATCACTCTTAGATGACTGGTATGAGTTATTTTGAATAACTAAAAATACAATAACTAATACTTACCTGATGTAGCTGATACAATAGAGTTTTAATTACACTCCTTAAAAAAGTAATAAGGAAACAATGTACGGCTAAGTGAACAGAAATAAAATACTAAATTAATAAATATCACCTGTTTTAATGATAAATTAGTTATAAATTCACAGATACTACTAATGCATAGGCAGCAAAGCACTAACCTACAATAGAGATAAGAAAACATAAGATCATGACGGTAAAAGTCTGAAACGCAAACATGTTAATCATTTTTCGAATGGCAACCATACAAAATTTTAGTCATAAGTAATTTGATGCGGAAAAAATTTATGAAAAATTTAGATGCACGCAGAATAACAAATAATAAATAAAACTACACTAAATATAAGAAATGTAAAGAAGTGCGTATGAAGTATTAAATGATTTTTAAATCAAAACTATAACTATAATATTTTTAAAGTGAAACTATAATTCAAAAAACAAAAGTGAAGAAAATTATTTATTATTGTTTTTATCTGTATGTAGCCTCTATGAGTAAATGACAAGTATCAGACACATTTATTTACACAAGATAAAAAGTGTACAATAATTTTTTTGTTTAATTAGATATACTAAAAGCGAGAATCAATGAAAAAATTGTTCATGTTGTTAATTAACAATAAAATATTTTTGTAGCTCCTACGTATAATAAATGTAAACATACATAATGCATTAAGTAAAAATGCAAAGTTAATGCGTTTAGAGTAATGGCTAGCGCCAAGCCAAGAGAAGGAGGGGGGTTGCTAGTGTAACCTAATTTTTTTCATTCGGAACGTTCCGAATAAAAGGTTGCTTGCGTACCCGGATACACTCGTCAGTAACTTAGTACACCATTTTAAATGAGTCCACAGATTCACACACATACATATCAAAATCACTGTTTGGCTAAACATATTTCTTTTTCTGCAGCATGGTAGCGCTCACAACTGGCCTCATTTAAAAATCACTATTTTTTAATTTATCAGTTATCAATAAAAAATTATATTTTTGTGCAATTTTTGCCTAGGATTTCATTGTCATCGAAGTCAAGTATTTCCATGAGAACAAAAAATTTTTAGCTATTTGAAAAATAGATAAAAGTTGACTAGAAGATTCCAGCCATTCCCCTACTATAAGAAGGATAAACAGAGAAAGTTAAATTAAAGCTTGTATTGATATAAATATTATATTAGTAAAAACTTTTTAAGATTTATCAATTGCGATACGTTGTTTATTATGCTTAACAAAAAACAATTTATCTTGGGCATAATACATTACTTGTACGAAACGTGCAAGGTACTCTGCCTCAATACTTGATAAAACATAATTATCAGAAAGAAATTATCACAAAAGAGTGTTAACCAAATAACTAGCATTATACTGTTAATAATGTACTATTTTTTCCATACAAATAATTTGTGGTGGCTGTAACTGAAAAAATTAAAGTAATGATAGTGGAAAAAGTAAACTAAAAATCTTAGCTGCTGTCATCATGTTTTATTTATGAGTGCTCAGGTAGCTTATTATTAATGCAGTACAGCAGGGGATGGTAGTATATTTAAATAGATCACAGTTGTCATTAAAATCCATTGATTGGTACACACGTAAGCTGTTGTCAGTACAGTAAAAGGGAAAAATATGAGTGAGACCATAGGTTAACATGCTATAATCAACTTACCATCACATGTTCAAATCAGTGAACCAGTTAAATAAAACTTTAGAAAATTGATGAATTGCAGTTGCCAAATCTTAGTCTTAAAATCTCAATTGTTTGTAATGAATTTCGATATAGATACCGGTAAGAAACGTGAAAATTAAGGAGATTTATCTGGTCAAGTGATTAACCAAAAAAATTATGGAAAAATGTATCCATGAGAAGAAATACACTAAAAATTTTCGAAGAAATATATGACACACTACCAGAGAGTATAGAATGTGTCTCTTTATGTATAGAAGAGCATTATTAAAGAATCATATCTTAAGATTCAAATTTTTGCGTCCGATTTTTTAGCAGCAGATGATAAATCTGATCAGTTTTTAAATCAGTAAGGTTAACATTTATCTTGAATAAAAATGAAGTATAAAAAGATGTAGATCAAGTGTCATCCATTAGATATTTGTCATGTTGATTCAATACAATATATAATAAAACTCACAACTTGATAAACAAACATGCATTATTTACGAAATAAAATTAAGAGTCAAACATTCTATTCAGAAAACTAGTTGTTACCTTATCATAATTGACTTTCAGTGTGTATCTGATGTTCACAAGTTAACATAGATGATCCCTCACATTTTTGTGTATAGAAACACCTTTTCTAACATGTGTGCTGACTAATGACAAATTCTTTAAATTGGTATCAGTCCAATAACGCACTGATTGCTCTAAATAAAATTGTACACAAACACATACACACACACAAGTCAACATCTTATCCATAGGGATATTTATGAGAGATACTTGTGTCATCGATAATTCGTCAAATCCTCGATCGAGTAATATCGAACACTGTTTTGATTATAATCTTCGAAAACTCCGTCCGTCTTTTCATTACCAACTGTATGTAAATAAATTCATAAGTGAACAGACCTCCATATTCTGCGTGTATATATATACAGGAGTGGTATAATGTAATTTTTCCGCTGCTACTTTAAGAACGTGAACAAACTTTTTTTTTTCTTTACTACCCCCAGGTCTCATCTCTTTTAGTCTAATTGAATTGGCACAGAGCATGAACCTGGAGAGGCTAAAACAGTTATTGCCATCCCCCATGGTGTCGATTGAGTAAAACCTGGAGGGAACATAGAGATATTATAGATATAATATCTCTGTGCACTGGCTTCCCCCAGGTTGCTAACTTTTGCCACGAGCTTGTTATTCATTCTCGGTTCCAATACGAGGTGCGGAGGATCAGCGGAAACCGTTCTGCGCACATTATTTCACTTTTACTTATGCATCGTACTGTGACGTCAACTGTAAGGCTGCAGTCACATGGAGTGCAATAGAACATGCAGGATGGAATTGTTCCTATAAGCGGCTGTGTTAAGTCTATTGTGCTGCAGGATAGCCCTACTGCGCAGTGCAATAGACTTAACACAGTCGCTTATGGGGACAATTCTATCCTGCACGCTCTATTGCGCTCGATGTGACTGCAGTTTTAGTGTTGGCGCTAGCGCTATTACTTGGCTAGGGAGTAAAATTTTGGAACGGAATACTTCTCCAGTATTTGCAGTTTGAAATTCTGAAGTCACTTGTGTAGCTTTGTCAAAAACTGGGGTATACACGTATTTGTCTTCTGAGAAATACGAGCTCTTACCATGAAATCGAACGACGAAGTAAGTAACAATTTTTTCTAAAATAATATACTTACATTATAAGTAAAAAATTTTTAACGTGTAACAGTTGGTTATACTGTTAGTTGTTTTTGACTTCTAAAAATGTAGATATGCCTATTGGCACATAATCAATCCACGTGTTTTCAATACAATTACAAATTTTTTTAACCTCAATTTTGTTAGTGTGATAATGAAACTACCAAATGAAATTCGAAAAAATTTTCTGTCTTATGATATTTTAATAAAGAAAAAGAGATTATAATCACTTAAAACATTCATTTTAGTTTGATGAGCTATTAGAGACCATGGATACCGAAATGGAAAATATTAGTTTTCGTAACTACTAACTTAAATTGTATACTTATTGAATTTATACTTAAATAAGATGCAAACTGAAATTTTTCTTTAGTGTACTTTTCCTTTTCACTAGACTGGTTGTTGTCCGAATCCTAATGTATACTTTATTTTGTTAATTTTTTTTTAACATTAATTCGTTTTAATACTAAATATTGTACTTTCAACATTCAAAAATAACAAAAAGTTGTGTTGATTGTAGGTACGTCAGCTGCTGCAGGTAGTGGCGGTAGCGGTGCAGCTAGCATAGTTGCTATTGCTGTTCCGAGTGGAGGTAATCGTGATAGCGGTAGTGCCGTTGCCGTTACTGGTGGTGGTTACTCTGTTCAGAGAGGTATAGTTGGATACGGAAGTGCTGTTAGCTGCGGAGATAGTTGTGAAGGTGGCATTGGCCGTGAAGGTGCCATTGGTTGTGGAGGTGCCGTTCATCGTGGAGGTGCTGTTGGTCGTGGAGGTACTGTTGGTCACAGAAAAGCTGTTGGTCATGGAGGTGCTGTTAGTCGTGGCGGTACTATCGGTCATAGAGAAGCTATTGGTTGTGGAGGTGCCGTTGGTCGTGGAGGTGCTTTTGGTCACGGAGAATCAATTGGTCATGGAGGTGGCATTGGTCATGGAGGTGCTTGTGGTCACGGAGATGCCGTTGGTCGTGGAGGTGCTGTAGCAGGCAGTGATGGCGGGGAGAAAAAATTTTAATTCATTTTTTATTAATAGGTCAAATGAACAAATATTAGGACAGTTTTTGAATATAATATAGGAAGACCAAGAGGTATTGCTGCTGGACGAGCACGAGGACGCCATCGTCAAAATGTTTTAAACGGCAATTTACGGTCATATGCCCAATTTCTTGGTGAACTTGTATCCACTGCTCGTCGAGATGCTAATAAAATACAATCAAATCGAAAAAGTGGGCGTCAAGAGCGTCTTCGAGATCAAAATAATGGACGCTACAAAAGTTATAAGATAACTCGTATTAAAATTTTTTTTTGAATTGTGACTTTTAACACCTACGTCTATTTTTTTTAAAAACTGTATAGTAGTGTTGAGTATTGTATAAAACAACTTTTTCTGTAAAACTGCAAACTAGTTGGATACTTGAATTTAAATATGTACTCACCATAAATCCAAGTTTTTTATAAAAAAATCTTAAAAACGTATTCGACTATTAGTTTATTGAAAATATTAAATAACTTGGCGAGTGATAAGCCAAATTAGGATGTCTGTTAGTCAATGAGCACTGTTATTTTAATAAACAAAGCTAATAGAAATGTAAATCGAATAAAAAATCAAATATATTAATGAACATACTGATATAAGCATTCATTTACAACTACAAAAAATATTTTGAGTGATCTAAACTTCATTTTAATTTAATCTTTTTTTAATGACTACATTATTTATTATGTTTATGAATTGAAAAAAAAATTCAGTATCGAGTTGGGCAGGAGGGCGATGAAGTAGGTAGTTTTTATTCGAGTGCCTTTGTTTGTGATAAGTAGTATATATCAATTATGTGTCTATGACATAGGGTCACGTCAGTCGGAGAGGTCAGTTGTCTGCTGTAGTTGGCTAGGTATAATATATACGGGAAAACGAGAGACGTAAGATCTATATTACAGAAATCAGTGAATTTCTAAAATAAATGAAAGTAGGTGTATCTTTTATTAACATTATACTTCCGATGACACTTTGAGTATCAATAATATACAACAATACTATATACATAGAGATTAGCATCAGCAAACGATTCTGTCTCACTGTCTCTGCGTGAGTGAGAGGGCTAAATACTACATATATATATATAGATTGAAGCCATGCAAATAAACCTGTAGTTAACTTTACATGCTGTTGGCAGCCCTCCTTTATTTTAAGAACATGGCAATGCCAACCATACATTGAAAAGTTTGAATTGCAGCTAACTTAACGATGAGACCATTTCGCGAATACTGAGTCTGAAAAAATCTTGTTTTGAATATTTTGAGATACACATGTCTCATTTTCATTATTGTAACAATTTTATAGCCCATATTTGTCGGTAAAGCTGTAGAATAAGATTAAAGAGACCAAATTTCACAAAAATATATCAGGCATACCGAAAAAAGTACTAACTTTTCGCTTTTTGAAAATTTGAGTATGCGAATCTGAAGTAGTCTGCTTTCTTAAACTCGCCTTGTCGCGCTTCCGCGTAACTTGATATCTGCGTATAAATGTATGTATCAGTTGTGCTTGTCCACGGCTAAGATCCCTAGCATGGAATATCGAAGAGTTTAGCTAGTGGTCAAAAATGAAATGAGTTCGTTTACACCCTTTTTTCTATTATTTTTCCTTTTTCTTTACCTTTATTTATAAGCACCTAGTAGAAACTTCCCCCTTGAAAGAAAACTATACTTGTCCCACAGTGTGCCCAGTGTATATACAAAGCTATAATCTTGTAAAAAATATTAGGTTGTTTTGTATTACCATGTTTAACTAAACTTAGCCAGTTTTAGATTTTGATCTACGTTTCACAGAAGAAAAAAAGGTAATTAAAATTAAAATACATAGGGCATACTCATATAAATGATTATTTTTGGCTCTTTAAAAAAATTAAGGATTCAAATCCAAAGTAAATAGCAGTGCAGTTCCCGTATGTATGGAAAAAAAGAAGGCTTTCTTTATTTGAATTTGCCACGCGCTACGCACTACGCACGTCTCCTTCAATTAAGTCTTACTAGATGGAATATGAACAGATGGATAGGATGATTAGCAAATTTTGAGAGAGTAAACAGATTAAGAAAATACGTTGGAAGAACTACAGACTTAAAAAAGAGAGCGACTGAGTTTTGGAGAATTAATGTGTTAATAGTGAGAAAGTATAGTAAACTTTAGTTGTCGATTCTTTATTTTATAGGTAACTTTGTAATTATTGTAAATAGTCATTGTTATTAGTAATAAACAACTTTATTTCATAGAGAAACAAAACTGTTTATTATTGAAGAAAAATTAACACACTTATAAAACGATAATTTTTGGAGAAACATGAAGCTGCAATTTACGTTTCAAGTTGTAGTTTCTCCAAATGATGCGAAGTCAAACGTAATAGCCATAATATCGATTACAACAGAAGATGGAAAAATGTATGTGTTGACAGAGAATGATATGTATGTTGGTGCACATAAAGAGCTGCAAAAGGTAAGCACATATAGTAAAGTGAAAGCAAATTTGAAGAGAAGAAACGACAAAGTCAGTGCATGGTTTAAACTAACAGATGATGTTAAAAATATATATATAGATAAAGCAGGAAATTTACAATTTGGTGATAGAATTTTGCAAGAGATTGACAATGCGAAAATCAGTGACATAAATGATTTAAGTTTAACCAAAATATTAACAAAATTAATAGAAGTTTCTAAGAAAAAAGGAGGAGAGAAGGAAATAAATTTCAAAGATATTGCAGATAAATTGATTGTAGACAAATTTAACAGCAAAACATTTAATGCGCATCAACGGTTGCTTACATATGAAAAAGAATGTATAAAATTGCAGGTAGATAAAGAAGAAAATAAGATTGATATGTAAAGATTTTTTTTGGATGACACAAGTCAAAACTGGCATAATTCAATGATGTTGAAAGAAAGAGAAAGTCAATGGGATACATGGAAAGAAAAGTTCATAAATACTTTGGGAAATAGAGGATGGAATAATAGAGCATATGCTCATTATTATGAATACAAAGAAGGCTCATTATTAGATTATGCAATAAAAAAAGGAAAATTATTATTAGAAATAAACGAAGATATGGACATAGACACATTTATGGACAGAATTGGATTTGGTCTACCAAAAAATATTAGGGAAGAAATAGATAGAGATAATTTAAAAAACATAACAGATTTATTTAATGAGTTGAAAAAACATGAATGAAAAATGAATAAGAAGAGTAATTTCAAGACAAAAGAAAGTAAACAAGATTGGAAGTACAAGACTGAAGAAAAGAAACCTTGCAAGATATGTGAAAATCTAAATAAAAGTGCAAGATACCACCCAGAAAATGAATGTTGGTTTAAAACAAAATCAAGTGGAGCTAAAGAAAAACCAAAAATAATAGGTAATAATGCAGTCATAAAANTAATTGTCGCTTCTTTATTTTACAGGTCACTTTGTAATTATTGTAAATAGTCATTGTAATTAGTAATAAACAACTTTATTTTACAGAGTAACAAAACTTTTTATTATTGAAGAAAAATTAACACATTTATATGTATCTTACACTTACCTTGTTCTGCTACTGCACGACGAGGTTAATGCTTCTCTTAAATTTGAGTTACTTATGAAATCCAAAACGATAAAAAGCTTTTTTTTTTTAGCTTTGGAGCCCACGAATATTAATGGTTTGCTACCGTTTAGGGTATTATTTTCCTGATTATAAATTATTAAAATAAGTTCTTTTTATTTAATTAAATCGTTTTATATAAATTTGATTCTGAAATGTTGCGTGCAGCTCCGATCTTAAAACTTTGCGCCTGATAGTAGCACCTACCGCCCACTAGCTAGCAACTACTAGTTTCTAAAAATTAATAGATAAGTATAAAATCATTTTTGCAAAAGACAAATATGATATAGGAACAGTAAAAGACTATGAAGCAAGGATAGATCTATCAGTGAAAAAATATTGTAGTAAACGGCCATATAGATGTACGATTAAAGACAAAATAGAAATAGAACAGCAAGTAGCAAAATTACTAGAGAAAAACTTTACCGAAGAATCTTATAGTCCTTTTGCGGCACCAGTGACCCTGGCCTTTAAAAAATATGAAGGAAAAAAATCTTGATTGTGTATCGATTTTAGAGATTTAAACAAGATAATTATACCACAAGCGCAACCTTTTCCACTCATTGATGATATAGTAGTGAAAACCAGAAACTGTAAATACTTTACAACGTTAGATATTAATTCTGCATTTTGGTCGATTCCACTAAGGATACAGGATAAAAATAAAACTGGTTTCATAACACAAGAGGGACACTATCAATGGACTTGCTTACTATTTGGTCTCAAAACTGCACCAGCAATATTTCAGAGAATCTTATCTAGTATACTACGAAAACATAATCTCCAAGATTGTGCAGAAAGTTATATAGACGACACATTAATATTTTCAAAAACTTTTGAAAACCATATATGACATATAGAACAAAATTTAAACGCAATTGTAAAAGAAGGATTTAGATTAAAATTTAAAAAATGTACATTTGCTGCGAAGTCAGTAAAATACCTTGGGCACATCATCGAGAATAACACATTAAAACCTATTTCAGATAACTTGATTCCAATGCAGAATTTTCCAACGCCAAAAACTCAAAAAAATATTAGACAATTCTTAGGAAAAATTAGTTTTTACCATGAATATATACCAGAAATTGCAATAATACAAAATCCATTACACAGATTGTTAAGAAAAAATGTTGAATTTAATTGGTCTGAAGAATGTGAAAAATCCTTTATAAAGATAAAAAAGTTATCATGCTCCGAACCAGTGCTAGAGATATTTGATAAAGATTTGCCTATCAAAATATATACAGATGCTTCACTAGAAGGTATAAGTGCAATATAAAAACAAGTTTAACAAAATGGAAAAAAAAACCAGTGGCTTATTATTCAAAAAAATTGAAAGAAACACAAAAACAAAAAAAAGCTATATATTTAGAATGTCTAGCAATTAAAGAGGCAATAAATTATTGTGAGCACTGGTTGATTAGAAGATATTTTAAAGTATATTCAGACCACAAACCTTTGGAACATCTTAATATTAAAGTAAGAACAGACGCAGAACTAGGTGAGTTGACATACTACCTATCGCAATTCAATTTCAAAATAAAATATTTACCAGGAAAAGATAACCTTGAAGCGGACTGTCTTAGTTAAAATCCAGTATTAGAACCAACAAATTCAAAAGATATGCTAAACAAGTAAATTTGATAAAGATAGATTAAATAAAAAAAGATAAAAAAAACAATATGTTACAAAAACTAAAAAGAAAGATAATTGATAAGGATGGTATTTTCTATAAACAAGGAAAAATAATAAAAAGAAAATAATCTTATCAGAAAAACTAAGCATCAAATTAACAAAAGAAATGCGAATGGAATGGTGTCATATTGGAATTA